TATATATATATATATATATATATATACATGTGCATATATATATATATATATGCATGTATATATATATATATACAGATATATGTGTATATATGTACGTGCATATACATCTATCTAATGTACATATATATATATATATATATTAATATGCCTATATACATATATATATTATATAAATATTATATATATATATATACAGAATATTATATACATTTATTATATCAGGCGTCGTTAGGCGTGAAGGGGTACAAATGGCGAGGGACTAAAATAGTGTTTGGTTTTTGTCTGTTTGTAGTTTAAAGAAAAACAAAAAACGTCAAAAAAATTTATTGCAATTAGATAATCTCGAGGTGTATATACACCTCATCTTCAGGTGAAGTGTACGCGCACCTCTTTCCCAGTTGAGATTGAGGTGTATATACACCTCAATCTTATCTGAGGTGTACATACAGATAAGCTCCGAATGATATTTTATTTAATTGCAGTCTCCTTTCTTTGTTTTGTCTTTGTGTCTCCTTTAAGAGACAAAGGAGACAGTAGAAGTGTTAGAGACCGCATTGTCCCCTCCTGAAGCTGTTTGGAGACAGTTTCTTTTGGTTTTCTATGCTGCTGTCTTTAAAGAAAGGAGACAGTTGGTGCATCGATAACATGCAGAGGAGACAGCTAGTATAGCATTATTGAGAGGAGACAGTTGGTGTATCGGCAACGAAAGGAGACAGTTATTGTATTAATCAGAGGAGACAGTTGGTGCACTGCAGACGGGGTGGGGACAGTCTGTTTATTAATAATTAGGGGAAGCAATTGGTGTAATACAAGAAAAGAGGAGACAGTTGTGTATTATAATAATAAGAAATGGACACAGTTGGTGCACTATTAACATGCAGAGGAGACAGTTTGTTTACTTATAAGGAGAGGAGACAGTTGTTGTATTAATAAGAAATGGAGACAGTTAGCTTATTATTAACGAACAGAGGAGACAGTTGGCGTATAATTAGCAAGGAGAAGAGACAATTGGTGTATTATTAACAAGGAGAGGAGACAGTTTGTTTATTTATAAGAAGAGGAGACAGTTGGTGCATTATAAACGAGGGGAGGAGACACGTTGTTTATTTATACGAAGAGGAGGCAATGAATCTATTCATAATAAGAAAATACAGTTGGTGTATTATTGTCAAGGAGAGGAGACAGTTGGTGCATTACTACTGAAGAGGAGACAGCTGTTGTATAAATAACGCAAAAGGAGACAGCTGCTTTTAATAGTAAAGAGAGGAGACAGTTGGTGGCTTAGAAACGAGGAGAGGAGACAGCTACTGCAGTTATATTTGTCTCATTTAAATAATGCTTTTATAATAAATTATTGTTTAGAGGCGTAAATATCTCTGTATACCTTCTGAGGTGTACGTACACCTCAAACAATATAGCGGGAGACCAGTGGATATATGTGTACGAGGTGTATGTAAGCAGCATACAGCTATTTTCTTCATTATTAACGCAGATGATGAATAATAATTTGTTTATTTATTGATATTTATCTAATTAAATACTTTTTAATCAATCAACATACCTTTTAGGGGTTGCTGCCAGCGGAAGCACAAACCAAGGTCACCTGCTGCTCTCTAAAGCTGCGTGCTGCTGCTGCTGCTGCTGCTGCTGCTGTTGTTATTGTTGCTGCTGTTGGCGGTGTTTCTTTCTCTTTGTTTCTTTTTCATTGTTTATTCATCTCTTTATTATTATTCCCTTTGCTGCAGCCAACACCAGCAGCACCAAAACAAAAACAATAAAAAAAGCTTCACACACAGGAAGCTGTCGATACACCCGGTGGTGACTGCACATATATATATAAATATATATCACCTTTCTCCTTCTTTTCTTTCCTTTCTTCTTTTCTACCTTTTAATATGAAGCCTTCTTCCTCCTCTTCTTCTTCAAAACAACGTGGGGGCCCCAAGGGGCCCCTATACACCCGCGGGCTGTATGCAGGCGAAGCAAGAGTCTCCCCAGAGGGATATAAGATCGATACAGGGAGACAATATTTATTAAGAACAGGATATGAGCCTTCAGCTGTCCCCATTGGGTTCAGTCCCTTGGACTTTGCTGCAGGTGAGGGAGAGGGAGAGAGGGACAGAGAGAGAGAGAGACAGAGAGACAACGACAGATAGAGAGACAGAGACAGAGACAGACAGTTTATGTTGATGTAGTCTGAATAATTGTCTCTTGTGTTAATTGGTGCTGCTCTCTCTCTCTCTCTCTCTCTCTGTCTCTCTCTGTCTCTCTCTCTCTGTCTCTGTCTCTGTCTCTCTGTCT